CTGACCCCAAGGCAGAAAGCAGGGAGCTGAAAAACTGCTGCCTTTTATGCAATTTCTCTGGCCCTCCCCCAGAGCACTGGGATTGGAAGGGACCTCAGAGAATGCTGACAGGTCACTGGCCAGCCACACGTCAGTCATGAAAGCACTCCTTCCCCCCCCACAGGGAATCCAGTATAGGCAAGTTGAATATTCGACCCGCACTGTTAATATTCGACTCGTGCTGTTAATATTCAACTTCCGGTATTCAATTCGACAGCTATTCAACCAGCTGCTATTTGACTCAACTTTCACTTTTCAAGGTTGAATATGTTGAATATTTGTCGAATCGAATATTAAGTCGAAGCTTTGCACAGCCCTAGTCTCCTCCTCCCCAGTAGCCTCAGTCCAGTCCACCAGATTAAACAACAAAAATATGAGCCCCTCGACTATAATCTAACAATAATAATACTAATGACAGTGGAGGCCATGCTCTGCACGTTTAAAAGGGCCTGTTTCTTCCAGAGCAATGTGTGCCTACTATCCCCAGGCACTTTAGGAGCTCCTAGAGCCTGTTCGTCTTACCACCAGCCAGATGGGCAGCCAGACATCTCTGTGGAGTTTTTATGCATGAACTCCTTCCCCTCTGGCTGCTCCCAGAGAACTGACTGCCTCCAGCCCCAGCCCTGGAGCATATGTGCACCCAGGGCTCTGCCCTCTTCCAGTCAGCTGACTGGGTGTAGGTGCAGGCTAATTCCCTCATTAGCCTGCTGCCATGGCAGCCGGCACCTGTGGGATTTCTGCCTGGCCCTATGGGCCCTCTCTCTAGGCAGTTTCTGACCTTAGAGGAGCATGCACCCCTTAGTGCCCTGCAACAAGCTGTCACTCGATTTGTTGGGACTTCCATGCTGAATCATTTGGGACTTCCATCAGTGCTGAATGCACTATGATACATGCTGTTTGTAACAACTACTTCCAAATCTCATGAGTCTATTGTTGCAATGTGCTGCTGCTTTGTTTTTTTTAATCTTGTCTCATTGTTTAACACAAAGAGAAAAGCTGGCTGTGTGTTAAATATCTACATAAGTATAAAGACTTATTTGAAACTTATAATGTGGTAAAATGGACATTTCTTTTTAGATTGTCATCTTTTAATTTTCAGCCTTGTCAGAGAGTGCCTGCAGGTATCAGCAGGTACTGGGTTAAGAATAATAAGCTTGCCTCATTTGTTGCAATCTCAAAGGTCTTTGAAATCTCAGTGGTTTCAGGGCAAGCAAGTCTCTTGGCAAACACCCAAGTAAAAGACTCTTTGAGGCATATAAACTTAATGGGAGAGAAATTCTCATCTTGCAAAAAGGTTGATCTTCACATTTACACTAAACTAAATTATTTTCAAATAATTTACATCCAGAGATACTGGTTCATGTTAATAAACAGCACCCTGGAGAGGTATGTTCCTATTTTGTGATGACCTTCAGAAATGTCATATCCTACAAAGACTTTGCTTAGACTCAGCTATTCAGCTAGCTTGTATTTTAGGTCAGTTTTGAATAAAAAATATCTAACGATCCTTTACTGGTTGCTATAAAGAAGGCAGGATACAGTTGTACCATATAGACTAACTAACTATGGTGCAAATCTATGCTGCTTTCTACCTAACATGACTAACTAACTACCTTTCTGCCTTTTGAAAAGACAGCTCACCAATAGATTGTACTGCTGTGAGAGTTAGATCCTGCTACTTGTGTGTGTATGTTAGTGCTCAGTTTTTTTTTATTGCAAGGGAATAGATTGTAGGTTATTTTCAGAAAACTGAAATAGAGACAAATGAATTCTGATTGTATTGAAGATGGTGACAAAACTGTTGGTTTCAGCATGTACAAGATTGCATCCCCAGTTTTGCAGATAAGACACAAGAAATAACAATGAACACATTTACTTTTCATTTGGAGGATTTTTCAGACTTTGGTGTCCAAGATATGCATTCAGTCCTTCAATTAAGAGCCTTTTGCAATAGTTCCATGTAGTTTAGCATTATTTATTTTAGTTTAGAATATATTTTTTTAATACCAAACATAGTTGGGGATTTGAAGCTAAGTTTTTTTTTTTTTTGTGTAGAGAAGGATAAACTGGAGTATGGTCTTTATCTACTTCTTGGAAAAAGTTTTCAGACAATTTCTCTTCAAGTGAAGAGACTTCAGAGTTACTTGCAGATATTTTGTGACTGAAAATCTTGTGTCAAGTTGTACAGGGTCAAGATTCTTCTTAAGTGAGGGAATTATAAAGAACTATGGACCTGTCTTTATTTTTCAAATTAAATTAGAAAAAATAAGTCTACAGTCTTTGGAAAAGAGTTGAGTATGCAGAAAAGTTTTACACAGAGCATTTTGAGGTGCATGAAGATGTTAACTGATACATTGCTAATGTAAGAATTGGTCAACTGCAAGGCTGGAGGGATTACAAGTTTAATCATGGAAAGGCTTGACAGACAAAGGATTTTTTGTGGTTTACTTTCATTCTGAAATTTCCTGTTTTTCATTAATACCTAGTTGGAGGGAGTAGTTTATCTTCCAAAAGTAATACCTTTCTCTTTTTCAGAGGCCTAGGTGGAGAACTGATGAGACCAGCTGGTAGGTATCTCTGTACATATTAGTTGACAAGTGCTGTTTTTATTGAAATAAATCTGCTATTGTCTGTTTGCTGTTTTATTCCTTTTGTCCTAACTTTTTAATCTCTTTTCGTATTCCATCATTTGCTTGAAATTATTAACACTGAATATTGGGGGAGTTTTCACAAACTATGTGAGATGAACATTCAAGTCGGAAAATAAAGCACTCAGAAGTTAGAAAATGCCGGAACTCTTGTGTTTTGGGCAACCTTAACTTATTGCTGTATGCATGCACCTTATTATGCAGTTTTTGATTACATGATAACATAATATTTTTCCATAGAAAGCCCATTTTGCAGTCAGATAATGAGGGTAAAAAAGTATTGATCATTTTTTGTATGAACTGGTCACCTTGATGTGAATAGTTCTCTTTCTCCGGAGACATTGAATTTTCATTTAGGAGCTCACCATCAGCACGTTGTATAGGAGCATATTTGTAGTATTAGCTACAGTAATGTCTATCTCCAGAGTTGCCTTGTAACAGTAAGAAGATAGTGATCTTTAAACATATATCCATAAGGTTGGTATTCATTCACCTATAAGGATTCTAAAATACCATGGAATTAAACATGAAAATAATGATATTTCAGTATTTATGAATTAATGGAATTTAGGATTATTTTTATGGAGTAATTGTGTAAAGATATAATTCTACCAATAGATTTTATGTTTTAAAAGGGTGGAAGTAATATATATCAGTATGGATCCCACTGTAGGTATAAATGTGCCTGATACAAGCATTACTGAAATAGTAGTATCCACTGGTGTTAGTATCTTCCCTATACCTTCCCTATACACATTTTTGAGCAAAGGCAGGAAAGGACAGATTTACAGTTACCTTTTTTCTATTCTTTCTTGTTATGGCAGCAAGTCAGAATTAAATCAGATACCTTATCTACTACTACAGTGTAGGTTGTAGCTGTGTTGGTAAAAGGACATAGGCAGACAAGGTTCTTTGGGTAAATCTGATATCTTTTATTAGTTGGAAAAACTAAATAGTTGGAAAAAAATTTCTTAGCAAGCTTTTGGGTTTAAAAACCCTTCATCAGGCTGAGGAAGCATCTGCAGTTGGTGTGTGCTCTTCCTGGATGGAATTCATTCATTCCATTCCAAAGTTACACATAGCAATGGTAGAAAAGCATTACGCACATTAGATGTATTGAAGACTAACTGATTCAAACTGTTAAATCATCTGTTGCTACTACTGGCCATTCTAAAAGTCAAGCCTTCTCCTTGCAACAGGGATCCAAATGAATAACAGCATGTCTCACTGTGCTATTAAGTGGCTGGTGCAGGCTCCCTCACTGAACATTCAAGCTTACCCCACTAGAGCAAAAGGAGTGTCTTCTATTTGCTTAAAAATGTAGCAGTATTGTACATCTGTCATGTGACAGCTTGGGGTTACTTGCTGAGTTAAAGATTGCCTTGGACTAGCTGCTAGTTCAGTTTGGATGCAAGTGCTACAGTCATTATTTATATTTTACAGCTGAAACTCATCGTTCCCATTCCCAGTGAAGACAGCATGTTCTAGTTTTGTGGAATGAGATTCACATTGATTTGTACTTAAAGAAGACATGCTGCTTACCTTCCAGTAACTGTAGTTCCTTGAACTGTTGCAGTCATGTGGATCCAATGCATGTCCTTCAGTTCCGTCTTCAGTTACCACTGGCTTGGAGCTGTGACGAAACTGGGGGAGTCATGGTTTAATAGCTCTTTACACCCTAACATGGAAACACAAGGAATTCCAGGAAGGATACACAGCCCCATCCAACACACTCTTAAAAGAAAAATCCAGTTGCGTATGTGTAAAATTCACTTAAACCTTTAGTGAGATCCATGTTGATTACAAGATCCGAAAACAACAGTTACTTTACTGTTGGATACCCTTTTTGATGTCAGAAACATAATTCCCTTGTTTCCTTTTCTGTATGTTTATTATATTATGGTATTTCTGTTGTAATCTGTTCTGCCTTCAGTTTATTTTTAAGCAAACTCATGATATGATATGATATATTTTCAATCTAGCAAAACTTCTACAAGTTGGTGTTTTCATATTTGGTAAAAATAGATTTCTTTTTTTTCCCAGTCTGTGCTTTAATTGAAAAACTGTCTCTTTCAAAAATGCCATTTAAAGAGGATCCCATAATCGGTATGTGATTTCTTCAATAGCTTTACATTAACATTTCATGCTAGTTACATTCTCTGAGATTTTATGTAATATTAGCAAGTGATGTTTTTTCTAGGAAGTTCCTGCGGCCCTTGTAGTAAGATGTTGATGAATTACAGTAGTCTAACAGTTGCACATCTCAGAGTAGCACAAATCACCCCTAGGAAAGTCTTTTTCTCTCAAAGAAATTGACAACCCCCCCCCATTATTAGAGGGGGGAACTCGGTCTCCTTTTAAGGATTTCTTTTTTGATTGGGGTATATGTGTAGCATTTGGAGGTTTTTTTAATTCTTCAAGTAAATAGTCCGTGATGGAATTTTTATTTTCTCTCTCTGTCTCTCTCCCTGTCCTGGCCCTTTTCTGCTTACTGGGTCATGGAAGTTGTCGTTTTGACAGAGACACCCAGAAATAGCACTCTCATTAGCACACATCCTGAATAAGACTGATGCTAGGTGCTCAGATTTTTGCCCCAGTAAAGGTCTTAACTCTTCAGGTTCAAAAATTATCAAGACTGATTCTTAGGGCTTGCCTATAGGGTGAATGGAACCAAAATAATGAATAGGTTGTAATTTACACCCTTATTTTCTTTGGACCAACCCCCCCCTTGATTTGAATAATTTCTGGTCATTGTAAATAGATGCCAGGAGATTGAAGCCCGTGTCAGTAAAATAATACTAGATACCTTTTCTGTTGCTCCAGGTGATTGGCAGTGGTTGATAAATGACAGTTTAAGAAGTCTGTCTCATGTTTCAAGCACAACAAGACAACAAATAAAGGTACAGTATTTTCTTCTTTTTGTTTCATTTTATTGAACAAACATAAAAGCAAACGTTCCTAATTTTATATTGTTATTCTTAGCAGAATGGTTGCCTTTATTATTGAACTTTCTGTCCTGCTTTCCCAACAAGTAGTAAAAGGAAGACATTTAATTTGTTTTGCTTTTTCTCTCTCAACACCAGGAGAATTTGGTTTGAGATTGCATTATATGCCTTGTATAGACAAAGCAGCATGCTGGTTTGTGAGCTTCAGATGATCTAAAAATGGCTGTAAAACTTGCCCTCATTATCCCTTCCTGATAATATTTTAGTCTAAATTTATTTAGACCATGTCTACACAGTGAGACTTAGTAAAGTTAATGCGAATCAACTAAAGGTAAGAAGACTGTTCATATTAGTGTGTGTTAAGCTCTTTGTGGGTTCAGAGTTAGAATGGCATTATTTCATCATACGCAAATCTTCCTTACAGTGATTTACTGTCATCTTACTGTGATTTGAGGCAACTCTAAACCTAAGAAGATGCATCCACATATTAACTTGGTCACATTGTTTATTCCTTTTATTGATTCATCTTAACTTTCCTGAGTATCCCCATGTATACATGGCCTCAGTTGTTATAATTTGCCAGCGCTATTGACACACACAGATGGTTGAAAAATTTATTTGTATTTCTTGTCTCTATCTTTACTCTGAAAATAATTCTGATGATATGTGAGACACAGTATAATCTAGTTTGTTAGTCTTCTAGCTTGTTGGTTCTGCAGTGCTAGCCTAAATAAAGATTTTTGTCAGTAAATCAAGCAAATGCAATTTAAAATGCACACATGGGGAAGTTTTTGCATTCTTACATTTCTGACTATAAATAAAAAAAATAATCACATCTACAGTTTTTTCTGCTGGCCTGCCTTAGAAAATCTGTGTAATGTTAGGTATGGGAAGAGAAGGCAGAAAGATCTTTAAATCACTGGAGAATAATTAAAAGATAAAATTGGAGTTCTTGTATTATCCATTGGAATTGCAGGAATTTATCTGAGAAGTTTGACAGGTAATTTATTGTAGGAACTTATGGAACTGAACTCATTAACATATGATCATAGACTTAGAGCCATAGACTTTGAACCACCCTGGCTGTGGGGCTTGCAGCGTGGGCAATGTCTTCAGCTGCAGGGCATGGGCAGTGTCTTCAGCGTACAGTGGTTGCTGCCGTGAGCCTCATGAGGCATGGGGTGTGCAGCAGAAGCAGCAGCAGCATTCCCTCATGCTGTCACTGCTGTGAGCTCCGTAGCGTATGTCAGCCCCACTGGCAGACTCGGGAGGTGTGGAGCTTGCAGTAGGGACAGCATTCTCCTTGCTGCTGCCATTGTGAGCCCTGCACAATCTCATCTCCTGTCATGCATATATGGTATGGCAGAAGGCACACTTATATGAATTGTACATTAGATCCCATTGAGTCTTTACCAGCATGTGTAGAGGGGCCCTCAAAGACACAAAGTGATCTTTTTCCTGACATTGTACAGTCTTCTTGGCTTGCATATTATAGTATCATGCAATTAAAATTGAGAAAAAGAGCTTTTACATCCATTGCTCCTGTATTTAGTTCCACTGTGGTTCTACTTTGTTGAGAAGATCATTTTAATTGATTGTGATCATTCCAAAATACTTGTGAAGTAATGGAAGTAAGTAATATTAGATTAAATAATATTGTTTCTTCAAAATCTCTCACTCATCACTGAAAATATTTTTGAGAGTAGAAACAGTAGAAAACTCTTGTTAATATGACACCTTATTTCACTTACACCGAGGACATCTGTGTTATTATAAAGCATTTTTATTAATATGGAATAAAGAGTTCCTTTTCTTTTTATATGCTCCCAGCTTTATTATGACTTTGGTCAACACTGTTCTTATCTGAAAGATATTCTTCTACCATGATTATTATTAGAAATCTTTCCACATTTCTCTGACAATGTCACTATCAGTATTGTTTTCTGTGCTTCTGACACAAGTCAGTATAAAAACATGATAGTTAATGCATATAGTATAACCATCAGCCTCATTCTAAACTCAGATCACATAACCATATTGACAGACTGAAAAACTTGAACTGTCCTGTTGGGCGTATTGTTTTTGTGATGTTTGATTTTTTTTTTCTCAGTCTGCAAAATGTAGTTATAATTTATGATTTTGGAAACAATACACCCATTGAAATATAAGAATGACTTATATCACACACTGCTAATTTTAGCTGGAAGTCTCTCAGATAAACTGGAAATATAGTATACATAAATCAGTAATAACCTTTTAAAGATCAATGCAGTCTCTTAATATAATCCATAACATTTAAGAATAACAGTATGACCTGCTTTTACTCTTGTACATTGGTTTAAAGGTACTTGCACAAGATAATGTAGTAAAAGGTAAAAAAATTAACAGTTGTTAAAAAGAACATTACAAATAATTTTGTATCATTCCTGTTGTCATTCTGAACTGTGAGTGTGCTTCTTTTGAAGTAGAACCTTAGAAGTGTTATATTAGATGAAAACTGTATTAAGCCCCCATTTTTTCTTTTCATTTTAGGAAGCTGCTGTCTCTGCACTTGCTGCATTGTGTAATGAGTACTACATCAATGAACAGGGAGAAGCCAGTCCAGCTCTACAGGGTAAATGATTCATGTTGGCTGTACAAGTTTAGATTCACTGGTGGCAAAATGGGCTTTAAAACAGCACGACACTGGATTAGGAAATTCTGAAGGCCCTGCCCAGTTATGTACCATTTTAAAGTACATTTAATTGGTTGCATATATTTATAGAAATAATGTTTGCTATCTTTATGTTCTTTATGGAAAACAGCCTTGGAGAGATGAAAGACATTGTATGCACATAAGACAGTGATGTTTACAATATATTGCTTGCTGTTTTGAATAGCTAATCCTGGCTTAAATATGAGATAAAGGAATAACTTAATTATCGTTGAACATTTAGTCTGTTAACAATCCAGCTAGGATGTTTATAAATGCCCAAACTGTGATCTACTAATGCATATGTATACCTAGGCCAGTGGTTCTCAGCCTTGCATACCAGAGTGATACATGCATTTTCCTAAATATTATGCATACTGTACTACCCAGGGTGGGGGCCAGAGTCAGACCCACAGCAGCGTCCTGCTCCCCCTGCCTTTGCCCAAGCAGCATCTGATAGAAAAGAGAAGAGACAGAGACTGGGGAGTGAGGGGAAGGGGCAGGGATTATGGGCAGTGGTAGGGAGGGGCAAAGCCTGTGGGGAGCTGGGAGTGTGGGGGTGCCAGTGGTGAGAGGGGCAGGAAAGATGCAAGGGGAAGGAGTTGGGTAGGGCAGAGGGAAAGGGAGCCACCTGACCCTCTCCTCCCAGCCACTGCTTTCCCTGCTGTAGCAGTGGCTGAGGATGAATTATAAGACAACCCTATAATAATTTAGATTTTATACCTGGAAGATTGTAACAAATTTATAAGATTCTATAAATTAAAAAATTAATTATTGGGGAGTCATCAGGATTCATCAGCATTCAGGGTCGACTTAGATTCAAGTAAATGCGCTATGTATGGGGGGAAAACTATATCATCCCCTCTATCCAGTGAACAGTATAAGTACCAGAATAATAATAATGCTATTCAAGCGGGCCTAAGGAGCAATGGAGGTATTAAAGCAATGGGATTTTGATAGTATTTCACTACTGTTACATTATAGCCTGGTAGGAAAAACCGCTATAGAAACAAAGTCTCAATTAGTCTGCAGTGTTGCTATCTTCTTGCTTCTTTCATTTCTCATTTCTCTTTTCTTGCTACTTCCTCTCCTGTATTCTCTTCTTAACTGCTATATTCTTTTTCATTTTTTTAAATTTGTACTTATTTTCTGTCCTTCCAGTTTAACTTTTGATAATTTTCTAATCTCCTGTGTGATAACTGCAGATCCTATTAAATTTCAGAGATTTCATGAGCTGCATTGTTTCACCAAGTCCTACACCCTTAGGGGACATGTATATTGGTGTTGCCTCAGGGAGAGCAAATTACTACTATGGAGAAGTTACCAGTAAATAGCTGCTTCTTCCTTTTCAGTAACTTTTTACATTTTATGTCATTTTACTGACATCTTCAATTTGAAATTAACATAATGCACAGCATGTCTGATGCAAACCGAATTATCTGGGATGATGTCATTAAGTGCCTGGTATGTACTTATGGTCTCAGGTATCTACATTATGTCCTCCTGATTTGGAAAGTTTTAAAATAATAAATGTGTCTATAATGTAAGTCTGTTAACTCTTGGGTAGGGATGTAGTTTCTTCATGTGATGATTTAGTTAAAACTTGCTGACTGCATGGGGATTTAAACAAATCACAGTGGAGTCATGAGTTGTGATTAAATGCAGTTTCTTATGGCAACCTAATAATTCTTCCTTTAGCAAATATTGCTTAATCATTTAACTCCTAGATGCCAGACAGCAGCTTGATTATTATAATTGTCATAGATACTCTGATTCTTATCTCCCTTGCAGGGATCACAATAAAAGATATTATATAAACTGCAGCTCTGGGGCAGAGGTATCTTAATTTTGCATAGCCACAGGTTTTTTTGCTCTATTTTGCAGCATTTTGCTCTTCATTGAAAGAAGAGTTTAGTGTACAGTAGCTTAACTATCTGAAAAATCTGCAGGCTGCTCATTAGCTCCATGATAAAGTGTACAGTAAGATAGGTCTTACTCTACCCCAACTATGCAGTTCGTCCAGTAAAAGATATTACCCAAAGAAATCCTTGCTTCATACAGTAAGAAATTCATCTCTCTCTCACATGTTCTCTCATTCTGTCTCATGCAAGCAGACATACACGTCACACACACACACAGCTTATGTGGCAGTATGCTGTATGCTTTGTGTTGGACGCTTCATATAAGGTCAATATGCAATAAAAATATATACACATACATGGATTCCCCCCTCCTATTTTTTTTCCTTTGTTTTCCTTTAGTCCATTTTTATTTTGATCTACTTCCTCTCAGTTGGATACTTCTTTTTCTCCCAGCATGGTATTCTCCTCTCCTGCTTGGATCTAGTTATTGTTACTTTTTGTTTCGGTAGTTTCATCTTCTCATTCTACTGTTATTACTTGTCACATGTCAGCATAGAGGTGCTGTGCTGTGCGGGCTGATGATTTCCATCTAGAATACAAGCTATCTCTGGGAAGGCCCATGTTTTTGTGATCTCTCTGGTGCTCTGTATCTGGTTAAATGGTAATTACTATTGTTTTAGAAGTAGTGCCATGCTGAGTGTCATAAAACCTGAAGATATGTGAATCTTCACTGAGTTCTTGTTTGAATATAAGCCCTGTTTAAACTTGTTGCTTTGGTTTAAAAATAATAGTAAAAATAATTAAAATTTACGTAATCTTAGCTTAACTGTGACTCTTTTGAAAGGCAGGGTTAAGATTGGTCTAAATTATCTCTTTGTTATTTAAACCATATTCAGAGAATAAGTAAATTAAAAAAAAGTTGGTAAATCAAATATTTTGTTCTCCGTGGTATTCTAGTCTATTTTAGAGAATGTTTATCCCGCCTTTTTGTTCATTGCTTAGTCAGCTCTGTAATGTAATGAATGATGCAGTAACTGGTTTTCACATTGCAACTTTCTAGATGAGCTGGTGAAGCAGTATATTTCAGAACTCCAGAACACAGAGGAAATGATCCGTTGTGGTTTTTCATTAGCCCTGGGGGCCCTTCCAAGATTTCTGTTGAAAGGCAAGCTCCAACAGGTGAGATACAGTGTGGTCCTTGCACTGAAAAGAGGGTACAAGTTTTAAATGCTTCAGGAAGTAGTGTGAATGAAATCTCTGTGTTTAAACAAATAAACAAACAGTAATGATGATTATAGTATAAAAGTATTGGCTTATAAAACAGTAATCCCAAAGCAGTGACTCTGGCTTGTTGCAGATTCAAATGCTTGAAACTGGGACTTTTCTGGGAAGTGTCAAGGCAGAAGCCAGAGAATGAACAAGAGTAGTAGATGTGGGGAGGTATCCCTTTCTCCTTAGAAAAAGAAGATTGGTGGGGCAGAGTGGAGAGAAGCATGCAAGGCCTACTGTTCATACTGCACTTGTACTAGGGATAGTTTCGTTATCTACTGAGTATAAATCAAGCAACCATCATAAACATTATATTGACTTTCAATTTTTTTTAATATTATTTGCTTAGATTTTAGATGGTTTGAAAAAAGTTGCTTCCATCTCTCTGAAGAATGTGCGCTTTGCAGAATCAAGGAGAGACGCCCTGAAAGCAATAGCAAAGTATGTTTTGTCCATTTTATTTTCATTCATCTGTTAAGGCCCTGACTGCTGCTGCCATGACATGGTCTGCCTGGTTCTGGCTGTTGCTGCTCCTGTTACAGCAGCGGCGTGGTGTCTCTGGAGAAGGCTGCAGTGGCAGCTTCTGTGGGGAAGACTTCTTGGATAGCTGTCATTTTGGTGCCCTCTCCAAGTTAGTACCTGGAGCTGGTGTCCTGCTGATCCACCTGTAGTTATGCTACTGGCATTGTCAGGCACATATATACATACATTCACAACTCCTTGGCCTGGAGCATTAGGAAGGTGATGCAAAGATATGTTCTGTGGCCAGGCAGCAATAGGGAGCTGCTCCTTGAAGTGGAGAAAATGTGGTGGGGGGAATGGAGCACTGTGGGATGATGATGGAGCAAGAGACTCTCCTTTTCTGAATGTATATGAAAGAGGAGCTTGTTTGCCCAAAATAGAAGTGCATGAGCAAAAGGAAGTCCTGACCTGTTTTTTTTTACTCCATTTTCATTAGCATTTTTGTTTTTCTCTGTTATAGGGTTTGTCAGACAGTAGGTGTGAAGAGAGAAGGATCGCAGGATGAATTTGTCTGCAAAGATAATATTGTTCAGATTTATACTACATTACTTCATGGGATGACTGATTATACTACAGATAGCCGAGGAGATGTTGGAGCATGGTAAGGCTTCTTATGTTTGGAGAGACTGATAAATTAAAAAATTAAGTTTCTTTCTCTTGGTACATGTTACTATTGATGCAAGAAATATATAATTAAAAGCTTTTTAGATGCTGTTTTTTCAAGCGCCGCGGAAAATGGGATCTATTCAAGCCCTTTTGATTCAGATAGACTCAAAAAATGCACCAGAGAAAATGAAGATAGTAATTATTTACCTTTCCTTCAGAAGAAATAAGTTGAATTGTAGCAGCATATGAAATGTGCATTTAAAGCTAACTGAGGCTCAGGTCTTTTCTGACTTAAAGATACCATACTTTTCAGTGATGAGAACATGAAAATAAATATTAATCACTTGTGAGGGCGATTATCCTTGGATGTCAGAAATAAATACAGCCTTGAAATCTTTTGAATTTCCAGTCCTAATCAAAGAGCTAATCAAAAGGGAACTTGAATAGTACTTTTAACTTGTAACTTTATATTTTTTGACCAGTAGAGGGAGTAGTTGTATAATCTTTCAGAGAATTCAAAATGCCTCTTCAAAGCAAAAGTTATGGTAATCTTTACTGACCTCCGGGTTTAATGACTTCATTTTATATATGTAAATACTAATCAAAATATAATATTATGTTTATAAGAGGTTTGTGCTGATGGTGTGCTTTAGTCTTCAGATTATAGTACGTACAGAAGAGAGAGCTGGTTCTATATAAAAGATATGTTAACCAAAAGAGAGCAGTCTGTTCTGTCCCCTAAGTAAAGCAGGATGGATAATGTGATTGTTAGATAAGGAGCTTTGTTTTAAATTAAACTTGTAGCAAGGTGCTAAGATATCTAAAATTTAGGATTTCAGATTGCTTTTTGGAGATCCCTGTAACCACTGAGTACAATACAGTGAATGGGAATTGCATGTTTTTCACCATTATATTGCAAATTTCCAGAAGGAAAACACTGGAAAAAACATTAAAATGAAGTCCTCTATAGACAGATATTCAGTGAGGAAATAATAATCTTGTTAGATCTCTGTTGTTATAGGTATTATATAGGCAGGTGTGCCTGACCAGTGGCAGATCCAGGCGGAGGTGCAGTAGTGCAGTTCCACCCTGTTTTGATTCCTGCTCCACCCAAACTTTAAAACCAGCTGCCTAGGAGGGACAGCTGCAATTCTATTCAGATAATGCTGAAAGAGTCATAGTTTCATAGTTAGTAAGGTTGGAAGGGACCTGAGCAGATCATCAAGTCCGACCCCCTGCCATGCAGGAAAGAGTACTGGGATCAATTAACTTCATGGATCATTATTACCTCCCTATTTCCTGTTAATCTCTCTCCATTCCATGGGTGTTAATGAACCTCTATTCTCTTTTTAGTGGTCTTTATATTTCACTATTCAAACTACCTTTTCGTCTGAAATTTTGCTGTCTGTTACTCATTCCCGATAATATCTCTCTTCTATTTTACAGCCCCGGAGACTGTTTTTAGTAGGGCTGTGCGAGGCTTTGGACAGAGCTTCAGATCCAGAGATGCTTTGGACGCTTCGGTGTCTGAAGCAGCACGTCTGGGTTGAAGCACTAGCTTCGTTAGGCTTCGGAGCTGCCTCGGAGATCCGGCCATAGGGGATAGTGGGGAAACAATAAAATAGCTATAACTTTGTTGTTTTGTGTCCAATTTGGATGAAAGTTTCAGGGTTGGTAGACTCTGCAAAGAGCATGGTGCCTGCCAAGTTTGAAGAAGATCGTTGCAGGGGTTTTGAGGGAACTGCACCCCAAATTCTTGAAAGCAAAACTCATGTCATGTCTAGGCATTACAACATAAGAGGGGTGAAAACTGCAGGGATGGTAGCCTCTGCTGAGGTCACAAAGCGTTTCAAGAAGATTGGTGCAGGGGTTTGGGGGAAAATGCACCCCAAATTTTTGAAAGCAAAACTCCTTTCACATGTATGTGTTACACCACAGGGGAGTCAAAACTGCAGGGCTGGTAGCGTTTACTGAGGCCACAAAGCCTGCCAAGTTTCAAGAAGATTGGTGCAGGGGTTTGGGGGGAACTGCATCTCAAGCTACGGACAAGCAAAACTTGTGACATGGGTGACACTGTGTGTTAAGGCGCAGCAGGGTGACAGCTGCAGGGATGGTGGCCCCTGTTGCGGCCACGAAGGCTGCCAGCTGTCGAGATCGGTACATGGGGGTTCTGGGGCCCTGCACCCCTAGCTGCTGACAGGCAAAACTCATGCCATGGGTGCTTGTGGGACTGACTGTCTCTGTCTTGGGGCGTGGGAGACACTATTGCAGGCCTGGCTGCTAAAGCTACTGTGTTACCGGTTACGAGTCAATCATGATTCATTCAGGGACCAGCTCAATACACAGGACCTAGCTAAGGTAGCCAGTTAATTACCATCAATTAGCACCTACAAAACCAAGCTAAGGAGAGGAAATAATCAATACAGGCAATCAGCTGCCCCAAGACAGAGACCATCAGTCCCACAAGCACCCATGTCACCAGTTCTGCCTGTCAGCAGCTAGGGGTGTAGGGCCCCAGAACCCCCCTGCACCGATCTCCTCCACAGCTGGCAGGCTTTGTGGCGGCAGCAGGGACCATCGTTGCTGCAGCTTCCACCCTGCTGTGCCTTAACACACACAGTGTCACCCAAGTCATGAGTTTTGCTTGTCCGCAGCTTGAGGGGCAGTTCCCCCCAAACCCCTGCACCGATCTGCTTGAAATTTGGCAGGCTTTGTGGTCTCAGTAAGAGCTACCAGGCCTGCAGTTTTGACCCCCCCTGTGTTGTAACACATAGACGTGACAGGAGTTTTGGTTTCAGGAATTTGGGGTACAGTTCCCCCCAAACCCTGCACCGATCTTTTTGAAACTTGAAGGGCTTTGTGGCCTCACCAGGGAACACCACCCCTGTAGTTTTCGTCCCCCTGTGGTGTAACGCACAGCTGTGACATGAGTTTGGCTTTCAAGAATTTGGGGTA